GAGGCAGGTGGATCGTTTGAGCTCAGGAGTTCGAGACCAGCCTGAGCAAGAGCGAGACCCCGTCTCTACCAAAAAAATAGAAAGAAATTGGCTGCACTACTAAACATGTATAGAAAAAATTAGCCGGGCATGTTGGCTCACGTCTGTAGTCCCAGCTACCCGGGAAGCTGAGGCAGGAGGATCGCCTGAGCCCAGGAGTGTGAGGTTGCTGTGAGCTAGGCCGATGCCACAGCACTCTAGGTGGGGCAACAGAGTGAGACTCTGTCTCAAAAAAAAAAAAACAGAGAGAGTTATTCATTCTCATAGCAAGTGACCCTGTTGGGGGCCATGCAGCACCATGGAGGGAACCAGTCGAGGGTCGAAGGTGAGAGGTCGAAGGTGAGAGGGAGGCCAGGAGAGGGTCACGGCCCCGGCTGTCCCTGGCTGCTGTCTGAATCACGTCATCCCAGGACAACCCTCTTCCACAATTTAAGATTTAGCTCAAAATCAAATCCGGCCTCCCTGGCTTTTAAGACACAAAAGGAGACACACGACCGCACCTTGTCACTAAATGTCCCTGTGCCATTTCCAAACCAGACCCAGTCCCTGGCTGAGCATTTCGGTGGGAAAACAACCTGGGGATTCGCGTGGGCTTTCGCACCCCATGTCCGCATCGGAGCCCTGCCTGCTCGTCACCCCACAGGACCCACACACTCCAGGGCTGCCTTTTTAAAAGTTTTTGTCAGAAATCTTCCTTAGACAGGGTTGAATATATTGCTTAAAAAAACAAAAAAACATAAATAAATGCTACAAATGCCTGTCACCCGGGAGCTCCAGTGCTGGCCAAGCCGGACGGCAGCCAGGCCGGGCCCGGCCGCAGGGGCGTGAGGCCGGGAGGGCAGCGGTGCCCACGTCCGTACGTCCGTCCGTCTGTCCGTCCGAGCTGCTCTCCCTGGCTCAGGAGAGCGGGGACCAGGCAGGGGTCACGGCTCCTGGCAGGGGACTCAGGACTACTGACAGCGGCAGGTGTAGCCTTATCTCTTTCTGGCCACCTGCGAGTTGTTTGGAGAACAAGCTCTCTTTAATCGGCGCAGCTCTGTGAAGCGGGCACTGATACCTGCGTCCCACAGATAAGACATCTGAATCCATTGAGGCTGTGTGACTGTCCAAGTTCCGGAGGTGACAGAGCTAAGATCCAATCCACCTGGCCCGCCCCCACACCCAAGCTCGGTGACCTGTCCCCAGCAAAAGCCACTTCCACGGAGGCCTCCGGCTGGACGTGGTCGGGGGCCCTGCTCCTGGCCACGTGGGGACTCCCTGGAGGCTCTGCTCGGTGGCCTGAGCACGGGCCTGGGCTGGGCAGTCATCCGAGACTCTGGGAAGGGGACCCAGGCCTGCTCGCGTCCACGGAGACCCTACACCCCTGGGGCTGACGGTTTCTTGGCATCAGAACCATTTTTTGCAAACATCAGTCTTTGAAAACTCAACAAACAAAACCAGCAGGAGCAGAGCTGAGCCCGGGGAGGACAGGAGGGGGGCACGGCGGGACCTCCTCTCAGGGTGCAGGAGACACAGGTGAAAACCACCGCCCTGGGCGGCCGCAGACTCCAGTTCTGATGTTTAAACAGCCACCTGGGAGGGACCAGCGTCGGAAACCAGAGGGGCCGCGCCTGAGTGCGGGCCCCGGGTTCTGCTCCCAGCCCTGGCCTGAGAGGTCTGCCCGCACCCAAGCCCGTGAGCATGCAGCGCCCATGGGACTTCTGCAAACAGCCCCAGCCTCAGCAGGGGGACAGGGGATTTGGGGTGCCCTCACAGATAGCAGACCAGGGAAGGGGGTCCCCTCGAAGTGTCCTCCCCACCATCCTCTCCGAAACAGCTGCCTCCCCTTGTGTGCCAGGCGCCTGCCCAGGCTCCGTCCCTCGCTGGCTCCAAGCGGCTGCGCCCTGAGGACCCCGGGCCTGACGGGCTGGGCCAGACCCGAGCCACAGCCTCAGAGGCGCGTGCGGCTCCTGAGGGTCGGGGAGGGCAGGGGAGGACGTCCGGTTCCTTTTGCACCTCACTTATGTGACTGCTTATCTTTGGTCGTTGCTCAAATTCAGAGGCTGGGACCACGGAAGTGTCGGGTGGTCCCTGGGCTGAGCCACGAGTCCCCGGTTCCTGGGCTCACGTTCCCACATCTCCAGCACTGTTAGCATGGGGCACAGGCAGGCAGGTGGCCCGGCCGGGGCCCCACCACCCCCCAGGGTGGCGTCCGCCTGTGCCATCTGCTGCAGTCCCTGATGCAGCTCGTGTCCTGGGCACCGCAGCCAGGTCTTCCCCTTCTTGGGGGGATCCTCGATCACCAGCTTCCCACCGGCTCTCTCGCTGCCGGAAAGAGCGACGCCGTACCCTTCTCCTTGGCTGGAGTGACTGTACCAGAAAGAACTGCTTAAACCCTTCATATCGCAAAGCATCCTCTGACGTTTCTGTCTGAGAGAGTGCAGAGGCATCAAATCCTGTTGTTTCCATCCATTCAGTGCACTACATTCACTCCTACGATGCATAATAAAAATAAGGAGAAATAACAAATTTGCCAACTAGCCTGCAACTCACAGGCAGACAAAGCTGGGGCAGTCCGAGATGTGAAGGTCCGTAGAGGGTTTGCGTGTTTGCGTCACGGATGTTGGGAGAGAGGCCGGAGGGGCGGGCACGGCAGGAGAAGAGAAGCCGGATGCAGTGCTGCACCTGCCACACAGGTGTGTGCTGCTGTGCTGGTTTCGGGATAAAAGAGGACGGGAACATCTCCCCAACTCTGTCTCCTGGGCCTGGGGAAACCGAGTCAGGCCCAGGCCCTGCACCCAGCAAGATCTGAACTCACATTTCAGTCCCAGCACCCGTGTCTGAGCCTGAGCCACAGCTAACGTGTTTCCCTGGAGAAGTCACGAAAATCAGCAAGAAAAAAAAAAACCGTTAAAAGGTGGGCAAAGGACAGGAACAGAAGGTTCTCAAAAGAAGACAGACCAATGGCCAACAAACATAGGAAAAAATGCTCCACATCACTAATCATCAGGAAAATGCATATTAAAACCAAACTGAGATATCACTTAACTCCAGTGAGAATGGCTTTTATTAAAAAATCCAAAAGCAACAGATGCTGGCGTGGATACAGAGAAAGAAACATTTATACACTATTGGTTGGTGGGACTGCAAACTACTAGTACAATCTCTATGGAAAGCAGTAGGAAGATTCCACAAAGAACTAAAAGTGACCTATAATCCGATCCAGCAATCCCACTACTGGGTATTTACTCAAAGGAAAAAAAAAAGTCATTTTATCAAAAAGTCACCTGCACGCTCATGTTTATTGCAGCACAATTCACAGTTGCAAAGATGTGGAATCAACCCAAGTGTCTATCAATACACAAGTGGACCAATAAAATGTGGTATATGTATACCATGGAGTCCTATGAGAAGGAGGATGAATTAATACCTTTTGCAACAATTTTGGATGGAACTGGAGACAGTTATCCTAAGTGCAGTATCTAAATAGTGGAAAAACACACGCCGCATGTACTCGCTTATTAACCACTTCAGTACGGCGCTCACCGGCCGCGAAACCTCGCCCACGCCGCACTCACAGTCCGCACGGCAGTCCGTGCTGTGCATTGACAATGAGTCCATTTTACTCTTGTGTGGCGAGGAAAGCTTGAAAGCACCGAAAGCTTGTTTTACTTCACAGGCAGCTTTACTTGTCATGTAACTCAGAATAGGTAACATGTACACATATGTTTTCAGTACGTTATTTTTAAATGTTCACAATATTATCTTCATAAATGAAAAACTAGAAAAGTCATATCACGGCTGTCGGCTAAAGTCGCTGTGCACGTTCATCTGCGGCTGTCGGCTACAGTGGACGCTGGCACCCAAGTGGTTAAACGGGAACTGACCCACGAGCACACAGGTGCACAGAGGGAAGGAAAACTCAGTGGACACTGAGCATGGGAGGAGGGGTGGGTGAAAACCCACCTAACGGGTACAGTAAACGCTCTCTTGGTGACCGGCACCCTCGAGCATGGCAAAAGCGATCCAGGTAACCAAAAACATCTGTACCCCCAGGACATTTTGAAATAGCAGAAAAAAGAAAGAAAGAGTGACTCCCCTCCCCCCGACGAGTTCTCTTCGGTTTTCTGATGAAGCCGGAGCTGCAGAGACCGAACCTTCCAGGGGAATAAAGCATCTCACTGTTTGAGAAACGAATTCCCGTTACAGAGTAAGTCAACACAGGTGTCCCTTAACTGCGCAGGGCAGGTGACGGTGTGTTTTCTTTTCCCTCTACAATCCTCTCTCCCTCCCCCGGGGCGGCTCACATCTGAGCCCGCGTCCCTGCGTCCGTCAGCGGGAAGTGTCACCTGGCTCTCGTCAGCGCCCGTTTCCTTATCAGCAACTGCCCGTGGCCCGGCTATCGGCGCAGGCGGCTGTAAAGCAATAAAAGGCGGTTGGGAAGAGCTACCAGCTCGGGCTGCAGGGAGGTGTCGGCGGGGCCAGGGGGCCCCTGGCCGAGCCCATGGCGTGGCCGCATGAGGATCCGACACCCCGGGGACACGGCTGGGCTTCACGGAAACCGCACGTGCGTCCTAAAACCGAGCGTGGCCAGGCGGGCCGGGTGTCATCACTCCTTGCTCAGGGGCGTGCTTGGTGTCAGCACCGGGCAAGACCACCCTTTCCGGAAAGAGACGCACGTGACCCTGTGGAATTCGAGGCAGTGCCGCCACCGGGCTGGGTGGGGGGAGACCAAGAACCCCCGGGGGGGACTGGGCAACTACAGGCCTGAAGGACCTGCTCCTGGGGCCAGCGCCTGATGGGGCGTGTCCCTGCGCGTGCACACGCGTGTGCTCACGTGCGTATCCGTGCGTGTGTGTGCGCCCAGCTCTAGTGCCCTCCAGCCTCTGTCCTTCACTGGTTCTGTCCTTGCTCGGACCGAGGCTCCTGCCCAGGGAGGTAAAGTCCGCCCCTGTGCCCAGCCTCACGTGAAATGGGCTGACGACCTTCCACGTCCCTCAGACTCCCCCCTGGCCCTGGTGGGACCGGGCGTGGAGGCCAGCCCAGCGTCGCCCGGCCAGAGCAGTCCCCCCGCACCGCGGTCTTTCCCGAATCAACACGTGGGCCAGGGCAGCAGAGCCCCAGGCTCCCAGCAGGACGAGGGCCTGGCCCTGGCGCCGCAGCGCCGTCTCGTGGTGGGGGCCGCCCGGCACGGCCCCCAGTTTCCGAGTCCGGGGATGCCCTGGGCCAGCGCCCTGTCCACACGGCCGGACGTTCTGGCCTGGTTGACGCGTGTCCCCCAGAAAGACGTGTCCAAGGCCCCCCGGTGCCCGTGAGCGTGAGCACGGCGAGGAACGGGCCCTTTGCAGCCGTACCCCGCTAGGACCAGGCCGTGCCGGGTTAGGGCTGACCCTGGTCCCAAGGCCCGTGTCCTCATGGTTAGGAGGGCAGAGGCACAAGACAGGGGAAGGACACGTGGGAAGGACGGCCGTGCGGGGCAGGCACAGACAGAAGGGACGCGGCCACACGCCGAGGAGCCTGGAGCCACCAGGAGCGGGAGGAGACGGGGAAGGACCCTCCCCGGCAGCCCCGAGCCTGTGTGCGGCTCTGCGATTTGGCAGCCCGGGGACTCGGCCCCACCGCGCTGGCAGGAGCTCCGCGTCCAGGGCGCAGGAAGGAGACGCTGGCACAGGGCTGTGGATTGGGTGGGCGAGCAGCAGGAAGGACGACAGAGACCACGGCACAGGCTCCCCGGGCGGCAGGTGACGGCGAGGGTCAGTCTCCGTCTGGGGGCGACACTGTGGCAGCAGCGCGTGGACAGAGCAGGCAGCCCGGCCACGGGCTCCATGGGGCACTGGTGGCGCTCCCCGAGGGCACGGAGCCGATCCCGTCTCTCCAGGGAAAGCAGCGAGCTTGGTCGTGGGCGCTGGCCGCCTCCCGGGACACCGAGCTGGAAGGACCAGGCGTCAGTCCAGGAAACGCCAGCCTCCTATCTGCGAGTCAGTGTCTCGTCGTCTTAAAAGGCGGACAACTGGGGAAGACGGCAGACCTTGGTTTATGTCCGTCCTTTAGAGGAACAAATGCGTCTCGGAACCAAACCCGCACCGCGCAGGGCCTGGGCCGGTGGGGGGGGCAGGGCTACGGAAAGTGGCAAGACAAACGACACGTAAACAGGATTTCAAAAAACCAAAACTCATGCAAAAAATCCATGTTTAAGTAAGGACAGAATCAGGATTTCCAATTTCTCTTTCTGCCTCTGGCTATAGCACACCTTGGCCCCCCATGGCACCGGCCGCATGTGAGTGTAGGTGTCCGTGGGTCCATGACCAGCCTGTGCTCACCCGACTCCGCCCCGCCCACGGCGGCACACGCGGCAGGCGCCCGAGCGAGCGCGCCGTCAGCAGCGTCCGTGAGCTGAGTCGGCGCTCTGCTTTCCAGGGACGGCACCCGGCTCTTAGCGGTGGCATCAGGACAGACCCCGGCCCTCCCCGTGCCAAGGCCGGGACGAGCCCGTGCGGCGCCTCCTTGCACCATGGCTGACGGTCGGGGAAGAGCTTGACGAGTCCCAGGCTGCCCAAGTCACAGCCCCGGGGGGAGGGGGGACGGGGCGAAGGCCGGCACGGGGAACCCAAGTGGGGAAATAGCGAAGACTTGCCCACCGCTGACCATGCCTGTGACAGCTCCCATTTGCAGATTTTTCTTTCAGTGAGCGATTCACAGAAAGGCGTCTGTCACCTCCGGGTGCCAGAGTTGCGTCTTTTCCTGTGACCTCTGAAATCGATGACACCAGCAGGTCGAATCGGACCTTCGGGACAAGACGAAAGGGGCGTAAACACAAAACATTAATATTCATTGTTTGAAGGCCGGTGATTTTCCTACCAAGCCTGGAAGCGAGGAAGGCACGCGAGTTGCCGGTCAGTGGAGGCTGTGGAGGCTCGCGGCTTCTCCCAAGCCCGGGCAGCCGCACGCTGACCATGTGATGGGCAGGCAGACGTCTCTTTTGGAGATTAGGGTCGATAATCGCAACACACAGGGCCCCAGTAGATCTCACACCCGACCCTGCGGGACAAAGTGACAATTCTCACAGGCAGGCGCGTGGGGGTGGGTGCCTTCGCATACCTGCTGCTCACAGAGCTGGGGCAGCTTTGCAGCCACGGGCTTAGCGGTGCCGCTGGCTCTAGAAAGGTGAGGGAAATTGTGGGGAAAGGCAGGCCCTCCCTGGGGCCCTCCCTGGGGCCCTAAAGGCTGTGTCTCTTGCCGCAGACCTTCCAGACCGGGCTCCGCCTTGGCCCGAGCTGGATTCTGCCTCTTTCTTTTCCACGTGACAGACAGGGGCCCGGTGGCCTCCCATTTTCTGACCAAAGTATACACCACGAGCCAGCTTTGGGAAGGAACCGTGCATTCGCGTGGCATTTTTCTAAGC